AAACGGCTTGGAGGGTAGTGATGCCTGGTCGTGCGGCAGCAGGGTCGGGACTTCACTACCACTGCCGCACGAACACCTCCACTACTGGTCATGAACAAATGCTCTACTTGTCTGCGCCCTCACTGCTATGATAACTCCCTGTCCCTGAGTGGAAGTTAGTATTGTCGCAAGTGCTGCACGTTGAAGGCAGCGCTGCGGAGTAGCCCTGCGTCATGGAGTGGCGTGGCACTGACGTCAAAGTGTTGTGGGGTGAAGGGTTCTCAACCCTCCTGCCGCCCCATCACAATCGCTCTGCTGTTGTTTTGTAATCGCGCCTCTTTTGCTGGCTGTAGCCACTAAGCGGAAATTTACTACTCTTACTACCATAGGTGTGCGTCTGAGCTCAGGAAATCCTGATCACCGCTGGAAAGGAAACAAAAACGGTGTAGAAAATAATAAACGTTAATAAACGTATAATAAACGTGGTGCATACGAATGCATTTGGGGGCGAAAAGTCGGCGTCGCATTCATTGTGCTAGCATAAAGTATGCAGAAAGAAAACTTATGAGCACGGCAAGGCGGTACTCTTTGAGCAGCGTTCAGACTTCGCGACGGCAGCGCTTCGGTCGCGCGTTCGACGCAATGCAGTCGAAAGCATGCGCATCGATCGCGTTGAACGCGCGACCGAAGCGCTGCCGTCGCGAAGTCTGAACGCTGTTTTACAGGCCCTTTACAGGCTATAGCACATCGTGCTTCGCATAAGGAGCACGACATGTGTTATCATGCCACCATACAAAACGATATCAAAAGGATTGGAGCCCGCTGCTTTGAGGATCCTATAGTTTCCCACAAGCTTACATATTCTGTGGTCGATCCTCCACATCAGTACGTTCCTCATCCTGCATATCACAGCATGGGGAGTCAGGCTCTACTCACTATCACTCTGGTCTGTATCAGATAGAATTAACATCAGTAAGTGAGCTCATGTAAACAATCCCCAGTTTAGTCAGTTTACTTTGCTACGTGCACGCGATTCAGCAGGCGGTTCCTTGGTACTTTCTGCCGATTCAGGTCTGACTACAGAAGTGAGGGACTGAACGTTTCAGTTTTCAGGAAGTGTCACGATCGTTAAGTAAGGGCAAGAACCGGACAAAAATGGGAAGTGAGTCCAACCTTCAACCCTTCTTTCTGAGCCAACACTATCTCAGCCGGTCGTAGAAAGTTCCCAAATCCTTGCTTATCCTCCCCATGGAAAAAGTGATTCAACTGGGCTCCTCATAGCCAAATGACGATGTAGACTTCACAAGGTGGAACAGGAGTAAAACTCCTACGCCTTCCCACTACGCAACTGAGACAGCTATAGCAGCATTCGTGTATCTTTGTGCTGCAGGAGTGGCCAGTCTTTAGCGATTTTAAGCCATGCGCGTCTTCTTGCCAGCGTCTTCTTGCCTGCGCCCTCTCACCGAGGCATGTTCTAAGAATAACGTAGGCCGCGTTCACAGTTCGCGACCCGAGCGTTTCTCAAATCGCGCGACCAACACTTCTCTGCGGATCGTTAATTAGTATGACTACTACTCACCATCCCACGGATAAGATTCCCTCTGACCACCGCTTATATTGTCCGTGGGCCTAGCAATGGGAGGCGGTCGGACAGATAGTCGCGAAGCTGGGAGTTGCGCCGTAGTAGGCAGTAAACACAGTCTTAGACAGATCAGAACATGCCGTCCGTTCCACTCCTCGTTAGCCGACGCCCCGTATCTCTTAAACAGCTAATGTCAACAATTCCTGACAACAAACGGAGTGCGGCGGCGATTACGACTGTAACGGCGTTTGCGGATATATCGCGCCGTTAGCACGGTTATACTTGTTGCTTTTCCGCACCACACGAACCAGCGGCCTATAACTAGGCCGTGACTACAGCTCAACGGAGCTGAAGCGCGTCATTGTCATTAGCATAAGTGTCAAGACATTGTTACTCTCTATGCGAAAGTCCCATTACGTATGACCTCCCCAAGGCCGAAACCTCCACTGCCGGCAAAGCTCAGTTCAGCCGGTGGTAGAACAAAGGTGACGCAGGTATAGCAATAATAAGTACTTTTCAGGAGGTGAACATTTGCAGCGAAAAATTCAAGCAGCCAATGAGTCAGCGGTATGTCTTTTTGTGAAGGTTGCCAATTATCAGCCTTGAGACCTTGATGGGAGAATCTGGTCACAAATAGGGGACAGTCAAAGCGGCAGCTTTGACACTCCTCGCCTGAAGGCACCAAGCGATCAGATTCTTCTTTCTCAAAATCCATCTAATTTCAGGAGGCATTCCGCGTTGTTTTGCGGATCACAATCGCATTGCTCGTCTTCACATTGGTTTTCACTCTTCTGATGTTCCTTCACTATAAACGAGCGATTGGCATATGGCCAAGTCTCCATCCCTATCACAAGGCTGTGCTCACTACGACAGTGGCGGTCACAGCACCACCGCCACCACCACCACCTCCTCCACCTCCGGCAGGTGATCTAGGCGGCGATGAATATGGGAATGGTCATGGAGATGAATATGGAAATGGGAACGGAGGCGAAGAATAAGCCTGACTATTATGATTATTTACAATACAAAAGGCATAAACATTGTAAACCGCGTTTGGCTTCATTAGATAAAATTTGTGCCCATGTCAAATTGCCTCGAAGAATAGAGCCAGTTCACTCAGGTCGTCACATTCTTGGTCTACTTGAACCTCGTTGTTATTCCGTCTAGTTAATAAATAACGATCCCGGAGATTTTCCGTAGGAAAGGACACCGGGGAACTCGCTTCCCTTCTCTATCAAATACTAATTTACCCCTAATCTTCTTCTCCTCCCCAGCGTAAATACCGCGCCGCCACGTGGTCCGCTCTTTGTGTTGGCCGTTGGGATCTCCCGTCCAGGGCATTCTCTCGTGGCCTTCATTTGAGTGAAGTCTTTCATGGTCGCTTGCATTGTGACTCGATGTTTACCGCTTCCCTTATCAAGTGGTCCTCAGGCCTCTCAGTACGTGCCCATACCATCGCAGTCGCTGCTCTCGTGCCTTCAGCTGGATCGGAGCGGTCTGTGTGACCGCCCTGACGTCCTCGTTTCTGACTCTGTCGAGTCGTGTCCAGCCGCAGGCCCATCCAGCATTCTCGTTTCAGCTGAGTGGAGCTGCCTCGCTTCATGTGGTACGAATATGGGCAGCCATGAAGCATAGTAGGATCTACCACTGTTCGCTACCCCCTTGCCCTTGAGACCTTCCCTTGAGGGTCCTGGATGGATCCATCGAAGACAGCAGAGAATACGTGTAGATTCCCCCACCTCATCCGAGCCTCATGCATTCGAGCTTCCACGCTGCCATTGTGAGCCAGATCGCTTCCCAGATAGCGGAAAACTTCACTCTTTCAATGGATTCCTCATGACTGTCCACGATGGCTTCAGTGCATTCCTCGGAGCTAAGGAACTTGGTCTTTTTGACGTTCAACGGTGGACCAGTCTTGGCAAGCACCTCTAGCCATTTTTGTACCTTACCCTACAATTCTTCTTTGCTCTCCACTATCATGACAATGTCATCGGCATAGAGAATAGCCTTGAATCCCTTCACGAGTTCCTCTGCCATAACATACGGAGTCAGTAGAAAGAGGAAGTGGCTGAGAGCTAACCCTCGGTGTACCCTCAACCCTGATGTCCATCGCCTTTGTAAGGCGGTGCGGGGTACCGCTCTTGCCTCATCCTACACCCTTTTCATGCCCCTCGCCAGGAAGATGAGGTGCTCGGAAATTACTCTACGCTTAAGGGACGAGACCAGTCACACTGTTACATCACAATACGAAGGAGAACTCAGTGAACAGGAAGAAACAACTGAGCGTAACTGAATCGAGGATAGTCTGACACTAACCAGAACAATGCTCTGAACGAGTTCCTTAGACTATGGGTTGCACTAATGGAACAGGAGTGCTCATAGAAAACGCAAGTATACTAAAAATGCAAAAAGAGTCTCCCATTTTGCGCGCATGTTTACCGGGAAAAATTAAGCTGACTTGACATTGTTCAGGCGGTTCGTTCTGTAATACTCAGCTGGTTCTAGGCTTTTTATGGCCTACAACCTTGTTATTATAAGGCCTGAGAAAGCAAGGAAATTCAATGAAAAAACGACAGTCCGATCGCTTAATCTCTGCATCAGCCAAAGAGACCTGAAAACAGGCGCTCGTTCACGTCAAGACGAACGAACGCTGCTTTTCGAAGAGCAGCAGCGCCCGCATCACCCACGCAGGAGGAAAGTCAGGCCTTACCAAGCGATTCGAACGGTACGTTCATGATCTACAACCGGAATAAGTGGCAGTGCCTTGTAGGATACCGCTGAAGCAGCACCTATAATTTATCATCTGTCCTCACTGAAGCGCTGCTATTGAAATCCACTCCCGCTTCACATGGAACTCTAAAAAATGGCCCACACCAGTTGTTGATGGAATGATAATTGTGGTAGAGTGATAAAGTCAATTGCTGCTGTTCATAACATCTCTGTAAACAAACCCCATGCATTTGGAATAGAGCTAGCTTAGCGGTCGTACATGATACCGTTACTAAATAAGCAGTTAGGAATGAGTTCTGTTGGATCATTGAGATCGTTATACTTGAGTCATATCGAGCTGAACTCATGTGAGTGGAGATTGCAACGGTTGGCTTCAGGACCATCTTGTCAAAATGTCTCCAGCGAAGTGATCATACAGATCAAATGACGTGAAAGAGCCTTTGCGGCCACGAGCACCACTGCATTTTCCTGAATTCCCTTCAAATCGATCACCATCAAAACCCTCGACCAAGGCACATTTTTCTCCGCTCTCTAGTTTGATTCGATGACAATTCAGTTTTTGAAGTGTAGGAGCTTTTCTCGTAGATACTCGATCGAATGTGTCATTCCTTTCTTTGAATGGCCCACTTCTGAATACCGTTTGGCAAAATCATGATTGCATGTGGGTATATCGCCTCAGTGGTTGCCGTACGGGTTTTCTACTTGATCTGAGAAGCTATGTGGCTGATTTGCAACAAGACGTTGTCCTGGTCTGGTGGTTCGAGATGCGTCCTGAAGGACTTGGTCAGTTGATTCGGTGCTGACAGAGCGTTTGCACAAATCACATCCTGTAGTTTTGGATTCCTCCTGAACTACCTGTTCACTAACGTACTCATTTACAAACATGAGATTTCTTGAGTTCACGCCTTTCATGAATGACCCCATAGAACAGTTGAATGCTGCTCTTAGCTTCTGGAATTATGACTTAGACGTATGCTAATGTATTCATGAATTTTCTTTGATTTCATAACTTTTCTTGTCCAAACCCGCGCGCGAAAAACAGACGGAGTGGCATTGAGTCAGCGACGCATTTTTTATTTCTGTTGACGTAGAGTACGCTTATCCCGTCCGCACGGAAACAATCGCTTTTTCCGCAACCTGGAGCAAGCATACCTTACAGTTCTCATGGTAATGCAAAGAAGGCGTTTTCATCTACGTACTTACAAATACGGCTACGGCGTAGCGACGTTCTTCTTTCACACATACGTCTTTGCCTTGCCTTTCCTCCAGCTAAACTCGCGCACCATTTTCTTTCAGGAATGTACTGCACGTAGCCGATCTCCACCCATTGACTCTTACTCAGAGCTACTTTGAAGCTTCTCCCTCATTTCACTCAGCGTAATCCCTATCTTACCATCCGCAAACGCCTTGTGAATGTATAGCTGCATTGGTTCCGAGCATCGCAGCTTTCATTGAAGTGAATAATTACAAGACGACGGGTAATGTTTAGAAACAAGAAGCTAGTTCGGAGTTAGTTGACGTGAGAGGCAGTCACAGAGGGAGTAGACAAGCCGCAGCGTTGGTTACTATTAGGTTGTCCGGAAAGTTCTCGGCGTTTTCCGGATTCAATCGAAATAAGCACCGTTCGAATCAGCACACTTTTGCCAATGTGATCAGTCGATAAATCCCATCAAAAAAAACTGGGTGGTCGAGAATCCACGAAGGCTTTTTTGCCTGGTCCTGATTGATGAAGTATTTTCCAGCAAGGAAGTTCTGAAAATGTTTGAAAAGGTGATAGTCGGTTGGTGAAAGGTCTGGAGAATATGGCGGGTGAGGTAGAACTTCAACCCCAATTCGTTCAATTTATGGATAGTGATTTGTGAAACGTGTGGGCGGGCGTTGTCATGCAAAAGAATCGGACCCTTTCTGTTGACAAGTGCTGGCTGCAGCTGACGCAATTTTCGGTACATTTCGTCGATTTCTTCACAGTAGGACTCTGCTGTGATGGTTTGGCCTGGTGACAAAAAGGTTAGGATGTGGATCACACCAGCCGGTCACCACCACACGTGTGACCATATCTTTTTCTTTCCGTGAGGAACCGGGCTTTCCCGAGAATTTGCCTCCGGTGGTTCGTCGGCATCCCCACAATGGTCCGGAACGGTCCTTCCTTATCATTAAACCAGTCGGATCACCCGGCTGTCGCCGGGTGCTCCTCCTTTATCACGGCCCGGCTTCGCCGGGCCGGCCTGGCCTCGCCCAGGCACACTCTTTCTTTAGGCGAGGTAGAGTGTGCAAAAATACGCCAAACCGTCACAGTTCATTCTTCCCAGCTCCCAAGTCCACAGCAAGTTTTTTAGCATGTTGGAAAGTTGGCAACGCGCGGCGCTATACATATATCGTGTCCAAAGAGACACGCACACGCACCGAACATAGCGGATTATATATTGCGTATGTACACGGTTTTCCCAGTAAGTTGTAGCGCTGAAATCTATCCTTTGGTCCACTCTTTTCTCGGAGTTAGTACCAAAAATCTCCATAACCCTCACACGAAAATTCAGCAACCTGTTAGAGCAGCCTTTGAAGCATCCTACCGCTTGATGCGTTCTCCACTACTGCAGGTTTCTTTTTCTGGAATGCACTCCCGCATTCGGGCAGTTAACGCTTCGAATGGTCCTCTCTCAGATTGTTGATGGAAAGAATAGTCATAGCATAGTGATAGCCGCTTGTCTGCATGTTCACGCAACTGGACGTAAACAACCGGCCATGCTTCTGAACTCCAAGGCTTGGTGGGCCTAGCGAACCCGATACATGATGTCAATAGCACGAATAAAGCCGCAAGAGTGAGTAGTTGCGCACTACTGGGAGCCTGATACCTGGAATCATAACAATCGCCAGTGGATGTAAGCGGTGTTGCGGATTTCCGCATGATGAGGTTTTCATTTCTTATCAGTCACTTCGTCTCACCCGTCAGTGGGTGTCCGCCCCTCCCCCTATACCACTTCTTGGAGCCAAGGTCCCATAGATCTGCAACCTGCCCTACGAATTTTGGATGGCCCTCAGACAGTATAAGCGCGCGCCCTTCAGGGCACAGCATTCGATGGGGATTTTGGTCGAGCTTTTACGACCCCCCCCCTTTTTTTCAGGGGCTGGTACGACCCCCCCCCCATGCTCTCGACGACTTTTTCATGAATGACACCTGGACCGTGACTGGACTCTGTGGGTTGTGGGTTTATACTCGGCTCGAAAGAGTTGTCGGGGGTGGCAGACGAAATACGAGACTCCCCCCCCT